CTCTCCCTCCCTCCCTCCCTCCCTCCCTCTCTCTCTCTCTCCCTCTCTCTTTCCTATGCATGGTTGAAGATGTGAGTGCTCAGCGTCCTGCTCTGGTCACCTCCTGCCATGCTTCCCCCACCATATGGACTATCTCTAGTACCATAAGCCCAAATGAACTCCTTCTCTAAGTTACCATGGTCATGGTGTTTTATCATATAAGTAACTAATACAGATAGACAGATGAGTGATAGATAAATAGGTAGATAGATGAAATGATTGACAGGTAGATGACAGATAAGAGGACAGACTGTAGATAGATGACTGATCATCAATAAATAAATGATAGATATGGCCTAAAACATCCAACTTTTGCAAGTCAGAGGATGCCTGGTGCTTGCTGTCAACTAATTGAATCAGAGTTCCAGGGTCAAAGAGAGACCTTGTCTCAAAAAGTCTTTTTAATGATAAGGTGGAGAGCAATTGAGAAAGACACCTAGTCTCATTCAACCTCTAGCCTTCACAAACACATGCACGCATGCACATACTTGCACGCAAACATGCACACACACAAATTTGTACACTAAATACACATACATACCTAACAAGAAGAAAGTTAGCATTTCTTTTTCCATTTATTGGTGGGAGATGATTTAAACCTGCAGAAATTAGAGAATTTTTAAAAATCTTTAACTAAAACCTAATTATATATAATTAACACATGCTCTTCTGTATAACTTACCCTCCGTCACCAGGAGTTAGAGAAAAATATTCGCTATCTAAAATGATGCTTCACAGAGAGACTCAACTGTTTTAAATTTTATCAAGGAAACCGATGTTTAAACTGGGATTGTTTTCAGGGTTTCCAGGAGCAAGAATAAAAGCTGATCTCTACAACAGAAAGGATGATGGGAAGAAGAGAACTGGAGGGAAAACAGTGAGATGAAGAGAAGAAGTCAAGGTGTTAGAGATGGGGAATCTAGAGAAACTTCTCATTGTAGACACAGGCGTCTTGGCGCTTGCCTGGAACCTTTCATCTTGTAGTTGGCAAGGTCAGTTGAATGATTGCAGAATGTCTAATAACTACTAGTGATGAATAGAAAGCAATGATGCTTCAAGTTCAGATTCCCCATCCACCCTCCCACCCCCACAGAGCCACGCTGCTGTTTTTCCCCAGGGCACTCCTGAATCCGGTCCGTTTTCCTTTTCTATCTGCCGTTCAAAGATTGTCCCGTGTTGTTCAGCTGTTGACATTTTCAGCCTGTCCTCTCTTCTCACTTCCCCTACTGGTTGATAATGTTTTTCAAATACAGACTCACAGCATCTTACTATAGGTAGAAAGTTTTAGGCCCTCATTCTCCAAATTCATATGCTGGAGCTCTGACTTCCAGTGTAGAAATATCTGTAATACATAAAGAAATAATTAAGGTTAAAATGAGGTAAGGGTGCAATCTGCAGGATTGGTTTCCTTATAAAAGAGGAGTAGCTCTCCCTCTCCCTTTCTCAGTCTCTCCCTCCTCCTCTCTCTCCTTGTGTTTCTGCCTGTTTGCCTTTCTCCCTTCCTCCCTCCCACACCCACCTTTTCTCCTTCCCTTCATGGCCCTCTCATGTCTGTATGTGAGGACACAGTGAGGAGGGTGTCATCTGGGAACCAGGACCAGAGTGCTTACCATAACTAGGTTGGCAGAACTTTGATCTTGGATTTGTAGCCTCCAGAACCATGAAAAATAAATTTCTGTGGTTTTTCCACAACCCACCCTTCATGCTAGTCTTCAATGTGACCTTTCTGGTCCCCCATCAGATCTGGGTTATAGTGGCCTCCCCATGGATTTGGACTAGCCCCGGGGCCTTGAGAGAGGAAATGGGTGCTCCAGTCTGATCTCGGGAAAACACCTGCTATGCATACACCCCCTCTTGAAAGGTTTCTTGTTGGAACACGGTGTCTAGTCTGTGGAAAGCTTACACCACGCCCGAGCTCATGTGTGGGCACTAGCTCTGCTGAGTCTAGCCTTCCAGTCATTCCATTCTTGGAAGCAGAACATATGAGCTAGAAATCTTCCAGATGGTTCTAGCTCTGGTAGAGACACCCACCACCCCAGTATGTCAGATCCTCCTAGCTGAAGCTCTCATTGTGTACATGATTTATTGATGACAGAATCTGACAGCACAGCAGGATGGGTGGGGACACCATTGCTTGAGGTAGACGGTGTTATAGTGGTCACTGGAGACAACTGGGCAAGATATGTCTTTTAGTAAAATGTTCTTAGTGGGGGGAAGTCTTGCCAACGCTATTAAATCTACTACCTCTTACTCAAGAAACAGAGAGAACCAAAATGACTACAGGAGACAGGAGACAGGAGAGCTGACTTTCAGGATGAGCACAAGGACCTAATGACAACTTTGGAGCCAGACAGTCCAGAATTGTCTTTATATGTTTTTTTACTCAGTGTTATTTCTCAGCATGGCATTCCAAGTTGTTGACTTTAACCAGTGTTTCCCAGCTCCTGCATGTTTTCTGCTCAAGTGGGGCTTAATCATCTCTTTGACACTCTGTTTTTTACAGAGGATGTCCCCTCTGAGCCTCCATAATGAGCTAATGAACTGGTAATAGTGTTGTGCCCATTCATCTAATTACTTATCAATGAATGAGTGAGCAGCTATTTCATGCCAGGTCATTCAGAAGACATGAAAAGCCATAAACACTGTCAATATCATCACTAAGATAACAGTCTGGACTGAAAGACACAGAGATGACAATTATAACATCTGAGATGACAGGATGGAGGAGAAGCACCTAGGGAAATGACAGCCCAAGGGAGAGTGGCCCCCAAACTGAATCTTGAAGGATGGAGAATAGAACTTTGTCATTACAAAGTCTTCCAAGTCAGACAGAATTATGAAACTTTCTAAGTCATTTGCTAGATCTATGGTTTTCAAAGATGTGACAGAGTGGTGGAAGTTGGACCCAGGGCTCCACCACTGAGTCACAGTCCCAACTTTTCAAAGGATTTCCCTTAAAGGAAGTCACTTTCTTCAAACAAAATCCTCTTGGAATGCTAAGGTGGTACAGCCGAGTTGCTACAGGGGTCTAAGAAGTGGAGGTGAGGAGCACCTTCCCACCCATGGCAGTGACTTTGCTAACACATCTCCAGCCCCAGGTCAAGTTCTCCGGCAACCCTAGTAGCATCACCTCCCTCCATACTGTGAGCTCATGAAACTCAGTTGCAGCCCTCGATACTTAAAGAAATGATCCTTGCCAGATTTCATGGGTTGGACCGCTCTGAAAGACTTACAGATGAGGCTTACAAGATGGTACCTAGTGCTTTTTAAGAGGGGACTGCCTTCCTTGACCATCATAGGTACAGCAGCGGGAGTCAGAGGAGGATTAGCTAGCCTGAAATGGGAAAGCAAAGATCACTTTCTTCTTAGCAAGATGAGCTTTAAAACAAAAATACATGCTGAGTTTTTTGTATTAGTTCTGAGGATCTGGGGACAGAGAAATGGGAGGAAAGATGGGACTATGGTCTGTAGGGCAGAAGTCCCAGCTGGCTGAAAGTGGAAGTCACTGTGTTTTAAAGGGTACACATGTACACTCTTCCTATGCAGTTTTAAGTTGTTTGTGAAGCTGGTCCAGGTGCTGGATGTTGGAGTTAGCTTGTACTGGGTCACACGAGCCAATTGTTACATTGCCAGGAGTTTTACAAGCTGGTTGTTAAATCTGACAATTATTCAAGATTAAGTGGGGAACTTGCAATTAAATAAACCAGGCTGAAAAAATGAGGGTGAAAAATATTCAAGCCTTATGAAGTTCTAATGGTTTGGCTATATCATATGTCTGTGTTTGGTAGCTCTTGACACTACCAAAGCCTATGGCACATGCAGTGTGGATGCTCAATTCATGCTGTGACAAAATATCCTGCAGTAACATTGTTACACTGCACACAAGTCCCTTTCTGATCTTACTCAGTGAAGTCAGGATGTTAACTTGAAGTATTTGCATCACAGATCTGGCACATGCTTTAAAGCCGGGTGTTTATGCTTGCAGAGTAAGGCAGGAGATATTTCCCAGGGCACTCATGGTCAACGGCTCACTGCCTGGTCAGTCATTTGGTTACCAGCTGTATGACCTGGCAAGTCACTCAGTCTTCTACACTTTTCTTACATGTTGATTTTTGAAGATGAAGTAAATCAAAATACGCAGTGACCTTTGCATTTTTAATCTCACCTGGCTCGTAGTGCCTACCACAGTTGTCCCCCCACATTCTCAAATCTACCTTCACAACTCAGTCACCTATCATTAATCATGGTCTTAAAAAGAGCAAGAGGACAATTCCAGAAATAGGCAATTTGTAAGTTCTTCATCTTGCACGTTCTAAGTGGCATGATGAAATCTCATATCATCCTACTTTCCGACCCACGCTGTGGTATAACTCATTCTTGAGCTCTGGTAAGAAGGATACATGGTATTATGGAAAGGAGTGTGGATCCAGTTGTTGCTTGCTATTAGTAGCATTACATTTATGTGTGTAATCGTAATAAGCATCTCCCATATAAATGCCAGACACCCTCCTAAGCATTCATAGACACACAGAAGTCTGATTTTCCCCAAGATCTGAGTCTCCATGTTTCAAGAAGTCTCTGTTGTTTTCTGGTACCATAGCCTCTATCACAATGACAACATTACCTGATTCCCTTGACTGTTCTGAGCAGCTAAATAGCATGGAATTGCTGCCGAAAATCTGCTCAAAGCAGCAGCTGAGTAGGAATGTACTAGCCAGTTTTCTGTGCCTGTAACAAAATGCCTGAAATAATTAAGTCATAAGGATGAAAAAGGTAATAAAAGATTCTAGTCATGGCTAGGTGGATCCATTGCTTTTAGGACTCTGGTGAGGATGGGTAAATGGTAGAAGAAAGAATGTGTGGCAGAGCAAACTGCCCAGCTCCTGGCTAGCAAGCAAAGAAGGAAGAGGAAGGGGCCGGGTTCTACCATCCCCTTGGAGGACTTACTTTAATGACACAAGTACCTCCCACTAGGTTCTCCATCCTAAAAGTGCTACCACTTCCCAGTGGCACAACTCTGGGGCCTCTGGAGGACATTAAATAACGAAGTCATATGCTTTTCTCCTTGTTGTGAACAAACACCTGACAAGAAGCAGCTGAAGGAGGGAAGAATTTATTTCAGCTGTTTGTCCCAATACAGTTCATCATGGTGAGAAAAGCATGGTGGCCAGAGTGAGACAGGACAGGTGTCACATTATGCCTTTAGTCAGGAAGCAAAGAGCCGACAGGAAGTAGGGCAGAGCTATAGAACCTCAGGGCCCACCTCTAACGATGTGATTACTCTAGAGGCTCCCCCTCTTAAAGATTCCACAGCCTTTGAAAACAGTCCATCTGGGAACCAAATGCTCAAACATGCAGGCTTATGGGGAGACAGTTGTTATTCAGACCATGGCAAGCAGGAAATCTTGCCTGTGTCTCTTCCCCTGATCATGGACACAATGGTAGGATCCACAGTCATTTCAAACTCTGAAGTAATTTTGAGACAGCCAGAAAATCAAATGGAGGCTCCCTGGGTCCCCAAGGATTCCATGAAGAAAGATCTCACACCGGCACTTTCCTGGGAAAAAGAACGCAGTGTGCTTGTGGGTGGGGTCCTTGAATCTGCTTTGATGCCTTCCAGCCATTGCTATGTGGGCCATTCTGTCTTTCATTGGAGCCCTGCCCAGACTGCTTTTACCTTGGTGGGATCCTGTCTGTGTCTGACCAGTGGAGGAGCCCTCAGGGTGGAAAGGAGCATCAAGTCACTGATGGTGAGGAAAACTTCTCAGACCGAGCCTGTTCCACAGCTGGTGCAGAGCTTGTGCTGGGAAAAGGTAGGTCTGAGTTTTGCACCAATGTTGAAATGGGAGATTACATCAGCCTGGCCCATGTGATGTCTGGGTGACAGAATGAACGTCCCATTCCTGTGCAGTCAGCTCACCACACTTCTGGAAGCCTGGATCCTGGGAGCCTGGATCCTGGAAGACCAATATTGAGGGCTCAGCTCTTGCTTCTTGGACCCCAGCTTGAGATTCTGGGGTCAAAGCTTTCTTGTCAGTTATGTGGCTTTGCTTTCCAGCCCTCTGAGTCTCTCTCTCTCTCTCTCTCTCT